TTGTTTCCAACTCCTTGCTATTGTGAACAAAGCCATGATAAACATGGGTGTGCATAATCTCCTCCCTTTCGATAAACTGTCTCTCAAAACCTGAAAGAGGGTCCAACTATGGGTCAGTTCCAACTCGATGGTACACAATAATAAGTGTTGTTGTTAGGTGTTCTTAAATTGAGTTGACAGAAAATTTTCCCTATTTCTTGTCTGCTCGTACCAAAGGTGTTGATGTGAATTCCAGAACAAGAGGAAATGGTTGACAAATTCTATCTCTTCTCCATCTATAATAATATTGTCTATTGGTTCAGGATTTATTTTGTTTTCTTGATGTTCGGCACTGTAAAAAGAGCAAGTGCCATGTGGGCACAGTCATGTCTGACTTTTAGGAACTGTCTCTGCCCACAGCATTAATAAAACAAAACCAGTTCCTATAAAGTCAGATATGTCCCCATCACTCCTATACCTCTTTCATCTCATCTCAACGCCAATCATACTGCTTTGCTGAGTCAAAATCCAATCTAATAGCTCACAGATAACACAAAACCATACTGGGGAAGTCAAAAGGTTATAATAACAGAATACAGTGAAGACAGCTCCTGAAATGTGCATGCAGGCACCTCAGCCTCAAGTGTCCCCAAGTCCTCAGTACTGCAAATACTGGCTTCCCCGTCCCAACTTGTCCAACGAAGTTATCAGTCCTGCCAATACTCTCACCTCCCCCCATCTGTCCAACAAAGTTCTCAGTCCTGCAAATATTGCTACCCCTCACCTGTCCAACAAAGTTCTCAGTCCTACCAATATTGGCTCTTCCCCCTCCCCACCCCCAAAAGTTCCATTTCACATCATGTCTCCAGTTCAGCCATGCCTGCTGTTTTCCTGGTGGTGAGGTCTCTTTACTGGTATTGGCAAGAGGTTTCTTTCCTCTGCACTGGTAGAGGGAAGACCTGTTTCTCTCTCTCACTCGGGCTTGCTCAATGTATTGGTAAGACTAGCTAATCCCTTTGTAGATTGCTGAGACCGACCAATCCCCTTGTGAAATGGTAGAGTCAATCCCTTTGCGGATAGGCCAACACACCCCATTAGCATAATCTTGCCCATGTGGTCAGTAATGCACGTTCAGA